ATTGATTGGCTGGTTTACTCATGGATTATTATTGAGTATGAAAAGTTCCATTCAAAGTTCGGTTTAATACTTTCAATTGCAAGTTTCTATGAATCACTCTATTTTTCTTTTMTTTCAGACTATACCTTTTATCTAGTTTCCCCCTTAAATTTTTTTTCTGTTTCAAAATTACCTTTTTCCTGATTAATTTTTGTTGTATTCTAATAATTGATGGACAATGCTTACCTCAAGTATTTCAAATGCTGCTACAGATCCCTGCAAGGAACCAATGGATCCACTTCTTTTCTTTGTGTGTTGTGCACCTAATGGTGTTACTGTTCCATTCACCCTCGTTACTATCTGGATCCTGTTGGTCCTTTTCTTCATAAGTGACGTAGTTCCAGAGCTCAATGACATAGTAGAAAAGGAGTGAGCAGGTAATGACGGAGCATAGATATATCTAACAGTGGTCAGAACAGATAAATTACTTTAGTTAGAACAGAATAATCATCAAATTAAAGCTATCGTCAAAACAAAGTATGTAGATATATACTTAAGCTACAGTCAAAATATCAACCCTTGCCTCATGCATAATAATTTACTACAATCCRTGCCAAAACTAGTCGAAACCCATACTTAACTTCCCTTTCCCATCCAAGCACAAAACAAACTATACCACCCCTTCCACCCTCCCCCCATCCCCCTTCCCAATGTTGAGATGATCAGCTTCTGATTCTAGTGAGGGGTGTACCTAGTTGTACAGACGTGATGGAAACAACATTGAAGTAGGGGGAAGAGGATAGTAAGAGTAAGTGGGTATCCATTTATTGACAGGTATGCCATGTCAATAGAAGTGTAGTTTTAATAATGAGGGGAGTCTCAACAGTTTTGGTGTGGATTGTAGTCTAACAGAATTTATTTTATACRAGCTGTTTGCTAGAGTCCACTAATGTAAATTAGGGACTGTAAATACAGTTTAGTCTTACAGTCATATAGTTACACTTTTCCCACATCGCATGACTACATGTGTAAAAGACAAAAACATTTTGCTAATAATACACAGATAACAGTGATCAAAGCTAAGCACCCTTGAAAGGGTGATGGGCTGAGTTCCTGTTGGCTGTGATCCCAACTAGCAAACCACAGATCACAGCAGCTTGGCACCAGAAGTCCTAGAAGAATGTGAATGATTTGTTATTATTATATTCAAAACTTTCTGGCAATGTTGAGATATTTTTTATATGTGAGAAATAATTAAATGGTGCATTACTGCCATTCCAGCCTATCCCCCCTCCCCTGCCCTCGTTCAGATTGTTTTTTGTTTGTTTGTTTTTTGTTTTTTTTTTTGTTGTTGTTGTTGTCGTTTTTTGTTGTTGTTGTTGTTGTTTTGTTTTTTTTGTACTTTTTTCCTCAATTTCATTTTCTCAATTTTTTAAGTTTGAAGTGCTTCAATCATTAAATTATTTTTTGACTAATCCAATATGTTTTCCTTTCTACAGTGTATAGACTTGTCATGATTATTTCACCTGTTCATGCTTGGTTGGTTTGGCTCGAACTACTGTCAGTCAGACTAACATCAAAATATTTCTTCTTTTCATATGAAAAGTCAAAATATTGAACAAGAAAACGAGTGATGAAGCGTTTATATTCATCTCTAGTGCTAACATAATAAATTTATGACTTAAAGATGAAATGATTCGTTTCGTTATCGCCTTCGCTTTCTTTCTATCGAACGATGGTAGAATCCGTACTTGTTATATTTTACAAACACGATTACAGTAAAGAATTACGTTAATCGAGCTACAAAATACAAAGAGATGCTAGAGTAAAGCAAGATGCTTTGTAAAATATATACTTTAGAAAATAAGTACTTATATTCAAAATGAAAATCAGCGTTACGTTACGAGTTGAATCTGAAGGTCGAAATGATAAACAACAGTGACCAAGCAGAGTGACTGTCAAATTTGATATACATGAACTTATTACGTGAATACATGTATATAAACTTACGATGGAATACTATAACTTATTGACATTGATTTGAAAATAGAATAAAACAGCTCAGCGATTCGAGCCCTCAACTTATTTTAACAGTGTTTTTGCTTTCAATGATATGGATCGTGTAAGCTCAGGTGTATCCATCGCATCACACCCGTATCAGTTTTGTATTACAGCCTACTTTTTCCTACCTTCGCTCTTGAGGACTCAAATCTTAACCAAACATTGCAGCATACATATTCAGTGAATCCTTATAGCTGTAAAGCTTGATCTTTCTTAAAATCGCTTTATCGTGTAAATGATCTGTGAAATAGCCGCCATCACTGTTGACGTGACGTCATGGTCGTTTTTGTTAAAAAGAAGGCCATGCGGCTTCTTGTTGCTATGGAAAAACTAAATTAATCATAAACAAAATATTTTTGCATATTTTTGGTTTGCTAAAAGTGAAAGATTAATTATCGTAAAGTTTCAGTTTAGGAAATCTTAACTAATTTCTGAGCTATTATAAAAAACATCTGGTACATTTTCAAATGCAAATAATTTTTATATCACGAATTTAACCTTACCGTGAAACAAAATTACCAACTTTTAAATTATATTTTAAAAAAGAATTGACTTATTGGTGCTACTGCTGGGCGTGAAGGAGAACGTTTGTCTTTGGTACAATTGCTGGCGGAGTGTTTTCCACCGCATCTGCAACAAACGTGCTTATACTGACACCCTTTACAAAATTTTCCGCTCTGAAATGCCCAACACGTTACCTTGGGGAAAGGGGGGGGGGGGTGGTGGTATTGCGAAAGCGATTTCGCTGAGCCGGCCCTTTCTCRGCGCCTTGTTGGGGTTTCCGAAAATTTGTGACCGCCCCAAGCCATAGCTCCCAATGGATTTGGTCCCAAGGAAAGGAGTCGGGGGCAGACTGTCGGAGATAGCGAAACTGCTCGTCGTAAAAAGACCAATCACCCGACTTGTGAGCTATATCTCTAATAGTCTCACAGTATTTCATTAATGGCGCGGTTTGATCCGAGAATTTTTCACAGAAACTGGCTACAAAAGCGTGGAAAGCCGTCAGCCATAAGTCAATACTAGTAACTTTCTTGGGCTGGCAACTGGGCTCCAGCATAATTTTTGGGTCGCGTGAATTTTCGGAGGGTTTCCCCACTGAAAGCGAGTATTTGTCGGGTGTAGGGGAGTTATTAAGAAGGGCGCCAAAATCGACATATTCGTTAGCCCAAATTTTGGATTTAATCTTAGAAGACACGCTCGAGCCCAGAGTCACTGCAGCACTAGTAAAGACTTGGGATGGCCGCGGATCAGAACTCGTTGATATATCTGGTGTCTCATTATTCGAGCGAATATCARCGACCTCGTCCTCTACAATTGGGGGGACGAGACCCTGTTCCTGTCCAACTCGCGGTTGCGACATAGCTGCCTGCACAGCGTTGGTGACCTCTGTTAATAGAGAGGCAGTCAGGGCAGCCAAGACCAAGGTGAGGGGCCCTGCAGGCCGGTTACTAGGAACATCACGCGCTGAGACTTCTCTGACATCAGCTCTCGATGACCTCGTGCGTCGAGTTTCTCGCTTGGTGGGAGGCATAACTTAACAAAGTGCACGATAAAGGCGTAAATACATAACGTTTTATCTCGCAAAAAATACGAACGAGATAAAATAAGCGCTTGTGCTTTTGCGAAAAGTAAAACATACAAAAAAGAAGGGCAACGCGTAAAAGCGAGTACATAAATCGAGCCAAACGCCGTCCAGAATTATCTATAAAAAAACAGACAAAGCCGTAGTGTATGTAGTACGATATTAAAAGCATCTGTACGCAGAGTGACAGCATAAATTAGAAAAAGGGGAATGAACAGAAAACCGAGTGTAATGGACACACCGTAAGACGGCGATCAAGGGATTGTACACTCAAAATGGTTTCTGAACACCCACTGTTAGGCCAAGCATAGAAAACAAAGCACGTATTGTGCAACCTCACATGCCACACCGCATGTAATGCTAATCTTGACATGCAACACCACTGTCAAGATAAGGAGGGGTGTGCTCCCGGTCTAACATTTCTGGCTAGTCAACAAAACTGCACTCAAAGCGTAACAGATGAACAGATGAACACCATCGTAGGCGTAGAAATTAGTCTTTGTATGCCAGAAACCTCTATGACCCCAATAAATTGCATAAGGAATTGGCTCCAAAACTACGCGTAGTGATAACGACTTTTTGGTTGAAAGCTGCTAACGCCTCCCTATAGAGTGTTTGGCAAACACAAACRCGCTCAACCCCATATTGGTCATGCAATAAACGAACTAGGTCCTCAATACCAGAACCCACCAGAACAGGGGTAAGATTGGCACGGGTTAGGTCGTTTGTTCCAATTTGTAAGATAACAATGTGGGGACGAAAAGACTCTACAACATGTAGGTCATAATGGACAAGTTTAGTTTGAGAGTTCTGCCCCCCAACCCCGTGCCACCTTACAATTACATTATTCTCGCAGTGAAAATATAGGCTAAGATCGGAATYACGTTCGATGAAGTCGTGGAGACGACCAATAAAGGAATGTCCCAGAATAAGAATGCGCTTGTCAGCCATAACGCAGTTAGGGTGTAAAAGTAAAATAACTTGCCTGATAACTTTACAGTGAACTTGCTCGACTGCGAGAATAATAGGAAAGAGGCCTCGTGGTAGTAAGACGCGCCTTAAGTACTGCTACGTAATAACAGTAATCATATCCTATTGGTCGACTTGAGATATGCGGATTCATCTAGTTGGATTACCGGATCTAACAACAGTATGTTTCGACATAAATGTCATTATGCTGTCAGCATAATGTTCTCAGTGTTTTATATTACAAATTTAACCTTACCGTGAAACAAAATTACCAACTTTTAAATGATATTTTAAAAAAGAATTGACTTAATGGTTTTACTGATAAGGATTGCTCGGTCGCGATGTAAGAGGACAGCTAATACTCAGTACACGAAGGCGGGTTTATGTATATAAACGATATTTTTGTCTGAGAACTGTCTAAATGCTTGGGTTCTCATTCAGGTCCGGTACTTTATGAGACTAAAAGATTAGTTTAAAAGTATATTCAAGAAGATTTTGCCATCCGAAATATGACAAAAGCGAGAAAAGGGGCGAAGAAAAAGGCAGTTTAGCTTTAAACCTTTGCACTAAAAATAATAAAACTTCGAAATGTAATACTACTGCTTCCAGTCGTGCATGAGGCCAAAGGTTTATACTCTTTTTGGAGCGAAAAAACTCGTACATACTTAGGGACATGGAAAAACTATATAGTTTATTGAAAACTGAGCAGAATGATACTATCAGTATGACATTTTAACTTTCACCAACTTTCACCGCATTTGTTTTCCTCGCTTGCACTGGAACGAAGTGAGTATATTTTAGCTCTCTGGCTGGCTTGTAATCCTCGCTCTCTTCGCTGAAAATAAATTTTTATCCATTTTGTTTTTTTAAAGCACTATTCTAAATAAGCCGACACCATTTCAGGGGATCTGGGTTGGTATAGGATGTTGCCAGGATGCTCCCGCCCACGCGTTAGCRCACGCGCGTTATTTATATACTCCTTATTACTATGACCAACTATGACATCTGGCTTCGTCCAAAACCCAGTAACCATCAATATTCATACATGTTGTTCGCTGTGGCTATTTCAAAAACGTAATATATGTCATTTCAAAATTCGTCATACCTTCGACCGTTGGCTTTTCGTTCATAGTAACGCGTAAGACCAGGGATTCCACTCCCAAAATGTTACCCGAAACCGAGTGATGCAACAAGAAAACCAATAGGATAATTCAATAATACRACTAACGCATTTTATCTTCATTTTTCATATTTCGTATACTCTTATTTAAGAAAACAACAAGTTTATTGTAAAAAATGGACCTAACATGTTTTATATACATTAGTTTTTGATTAAAATTTTTTAAATAATTGTAAAATTGTCGTTTTTAAGTTTGTTAATTATCGTTTAAAGAGCTGTCTGGCAACAAATAAGTCTCCGTAAAGCAGCATTCTCATCAGTATTCAATCATTTTACCAGAAAGAAATACAACTATCTTTACCTTTTGTAGTCAAGTTCAATTAAAGACTGGGTAACGAGCGATGCGGTCCCGCATGGCATTATGGGGCAATACTGAAATATACCATAATCATGTGCCCATGAGAAAGCGTTTCCTGGAATGAGCCTGCTTGACAAARACCGCAATGCCAGGATTAATTTTGCTGTAAGCTTCATGTAAAATGAGATAAAATATTGACATATTTTCTTTGAATTATATAAAAATTGTCCATATATTCCAAAGTTTCTGGATTCCATTACAAATCAACCACTTAAACGTTTCAAAAAATAAAGATTTCATAAAAAAAGGTACATAAGTTTCAAGTTTCAACTTTTGTTGCGATTGGTAGCTTCACTTCATTTTGTGAAAACCGTATCCAGCTGTTTGATTGGACGAATTTTGACCAGTCGTTTGATGTACATGGTGGCAGGCCCATCTTATCCTGTGAGCACTGCCACGCATTCTGGTTCTTCTCTTACGAATTAACATCAAACAGGGGTGTGTTTGGATCCCGTCTTGGTTTTCTCGCTCAGTATAGGTTCGAATGACTTCAATAAAGAAAACATTGACTCAACATCTGAAGACAGTTTTGTTTCTAAGTGAGTCAATCGCGATTCTAGAGCCTCCATTCTGGTCTCGATATTCCTCAGAATTGGTAAACAGCCATTACAAGATTCTAGTTTATTCGATCCCTGTTGTTCTACTGATAAGTCTTCATATTTTGGTGGAACATCTTGAGAAACACTTCTGTCGTAGCCAGGCATAGCAGTTTTTGTATCAGACAAAGGTCTTTTGCCGGCTTTCAGCTTTGCATTATCAATAATAACGTTTGGGTTGAGCATGTTCCTACTGTTGCCATGGATATCATTTGCAACATTGGAGGGGGGAGGGAGAAAGTCTTCCTGTTTGTCAAAAATGTTGTCATTTGGCTTGTTGTTGTGTAAGGATGAGGTGGATGACGTAGAGTGTTCGTTGTCTTTAGAAGTCACGTCACAAGAACATTCAAAGTGCTAGAGCAAATAGAAAATGAATTAATTAGAATTCCAAAAAGAAAGTCATGACTCAGTGAAGGCCATCTTTAAAAAGATAGCGCCCTCCCCGTCAACACCTCATGCAACACGGTGTATAGAGGTTTTGCAGCATCACGTGCCCACGCCCATAATGCAGTTTGGGCTGCCTGTGGTTAGATGGCAGAACACTGAAATCCCTTTGCTCTTGGCAATTAAACTCTTTCTCGTGTAAAACGATTGTTTTGTTCCTGCCATCTAACATGGCTGCCATCACGTGATGGTGCAAAACCTTTATTGTAGAATGGCTTTAAAGTATCATACTCCATGTGTCTCCAAATACTCCAAAACCACTTCAATACTCCAAAATCCACTTCAACCCGAGATATTACGCAACCTTCCCCAATCAAGTTTATCCAAGCTAGAAATGAATGCATCAAATTAAGAAAAGACTTTGTCTAAGTTCCATTCTGGTCTAGCTTGGGTAAACAATATCGTATACGCATGATGAAAACTTGAAATGTTGTTTCTACGCAAGACCAAGASGAACCACCTTCTCCCCCCCACACGCGCACACAAAACATTAAAAGAAATATTTAATTGAAATGGTGACATCCCGCTGACCGGCATTAGATCAAGATCCAAAAGATTAAAAACCCAAACTACAAACTACCCCCGTCCCAATAAAAACCACACTTTCCCTCGTAATAAATGGGTTACTTAGTTACCTCGTCAGTTTCGTGGTCGCTGCTGCTGGGATCTTCATCTCTCAGATTAAAAGTCAATTCTAAATCACTTTCAAAACTGTGTTTAAATCCGGGATAAAGCTTTTGGATGTGAATGATATCTTCACGCGCTATAGTGCGCAGGTCACAGTAGGTCAGAGCTCGTACGCTTGCTTTGGATTTTCCTGATGGACGGGCAGGATAAGAATTGAAGCTTTCGCCAAAGCTATCTCCCCTGCCTGAGAAAAATGATTAATATTAATCAGTCAAATCTCGTCAACAGAATAAATACAAAATCACAAACAAGCATCTGGTCAGGTCAACCACTCGACTTGCCATTTTTTGGCTCTACAAACAGCAACAACGCGTATTTCCAAATCAGTAGGTAAAATGTTCTCTTACATTCTCTCTCTCTATCTTTCTCTTTCTCTAGAACATGTTGTTACCATTAAACAAATACAATACTCAAGGGAATTGCTAGGTCTGAGATGAGGTAAAACTAAGCTTCAAACGTCAGGTGTTCATGTCTTTTGACATTTGGACCGTGATTCTGAAGTCATAAAAATCAATAATTACCTAATATTGCCATGATGACGTCATCTTGTAGTATTTCTACAGTTCCTCTCATAATGAAATACAGCTGACATACCTCGTCACCTTGATAAACTATATAATCCCCAGGGGGAAGGTGTGTTGTCCTGAGCCGTAGTGCCAGTGCTCTAAGACATCCTTCACTAGCAGATTTAAACACTTTGTACATACTTAAAAGTTCGGTGTTCAGGTGCAGACAAATATCCGCTTGTAAGCATTCTGGGAATTGAACGAGAACCTGTAAAACGGGCAAAAAAATTATAGTTTATCATCAGTTAAGTTAATCCGAGTATAATTTGCATTTTCGACTGGAAAAAAAAAAACAACAAATTTAATCGAAACCACCTCTAGGAGGATCAAAGTAAGGACGCGACTAACTCACGGATCGACTTGAATTTTAGCGTGTTAGGTTTTGCGGAGGAAGGAACACTGAATCAAGGAAGAGACCTGACAACCTCTACTCACGTATGATACCGAGTCAAGGAATGAAACCGGAGACCCCAGAGGTGAGAGGCGAATGCACTACCACTACACCACCCTTAAAAATTAAAAAAATGCTTTTACTTTTGATAATCTTCTCCTGTTCCTGAGAACCTCAAAGGTTGTTCAAAGATGAAATGACACGTTGGTATTTACATTGGTTACATACCTGTTCCATATCAATGCCATTAGTATATGACCAAACATGGTGTGCATAGTCTTCAACTCGTTGTCGTAGGGGAAATGGAATCTGATGGAAGCGAATGAACTCACGAACCCGCTGCATCTGCGCGTGATAACGTGCGGTATTGGAATATAAACGTGCGATAATTGCTGCCACGTTGCCAAAAATGGCGGCGTAAAACAAAGCTGGAACGTCAAAAAAAGGAAAATATTTTTTGAAGTCGGAAGTAATGACTAAGGATGGGAAGAGGTGTTGGTACAAAGTATTTCAATCACCTGTCCCACCAGAAAAGAAGTGTTTACCCAATATGAGCAAATAAATGACCTTAATGAGACAACCCAAGTTATGAATGAAGGGTTTAGATACTTGAGCCCTTCTTCAAAAATCAGTATAAGGCATGTCTTACTAGCATGCACATCTCTTTGCACCTTGTCCTGAGAACATGGTTTCATCCAAAGTCCAGCACTTTAGGAGGAGGTCCTAATAAGGTGCCGGGTGGTCGACTTATAGAGGTAATTGTTCACTGACACATAAAGATGGGCTCATCGCGAATGATTATGGGTAGGTCTTCGTGATAAAGAAGCGTTATATGAAAGTCGTAATAAGGTTGTAATGTTGTGGTCCAAAGGCGTACCCAGAATTTTCCGGGGGGGGGGGGGGGGATTTAAATCCGCCACTTTGTTTGGCCCCCAAAACGCCAAACCAAGTGATTGTTACAAGATGTGTTGTATACTTACATCCTATCAACATGACGCAAATAGAAAATATCTTCTCAGTGTTAGTGTTAGGAGAGACATTACCAAACCCTACACTAGTCAGGCTGCTCAGAGTAAAGTATAAAGCTGTGATGTACTTAGACTCTAAATCTGGGCCACTCTCCGGGATCATATCATTGTACGGTGTTTGAATTTGATCTAAAATAAAAACATAAAAGATCGACAAAGTTTGAATGATCGAGGATGAGTTATACAGTCAATGTCATTAACGTTGTCCACCGAAAAAAAACATTTACACATTTACACATTTAGACATTTAGACATTTAGACTAAAGTGAGCCTGAACTTTAAATGTAAAATTCAACTCGTGAATCGAAAATCCAGGATGCCCCGACCATTTAGTGAGCATTTAAGATGGAGAATTGTACTTCAGCGTTTGTTTTATGACAGAACCTTCGAGGAAACACGTGAACGTGATATTTCTTTTAGTCTAAATGTCTAAATGTGTAAAAGTCTAAATGTGTAAAAGTCTAAATGTGTAAATGTGTAAATGTCCAAATGTCTTTTATCGGTGGACAACGTTAATGACATTGACTGTATATCGAGGATGATTGTACTGAACAACACAGCCATCATTGAAAAACATTATACCACTGGGAGGAGGGCGTGCACACCAAAAGTAGTGATGGGGGATTTAGGCGGGGATTACCCGATCAACATTTAGTAAAAGAGGATCATAAAAAAAGATGCTTTTATTTTTTGTTTCAGCATAGACCCTTTTAGCTTGAGTGTAATTCTTTTACGATCACGTATCCCTAGAGAATCAGTATTCAAAATAGAATAAGACACGAACAGGAATTTTGTACTGTTTATACRTTCATTTCTTATGTAAAAAGGCGCCCGCCTTACATAACTTGTCTTATATTCAGTCCCCCGTATAAATGGCCCAAATGTGCTGGTGATGACTGTCATGACGACGGTAAAAGTGTAAACTTACCAGCAAGAATATCCAGCCAGCCTATCGTATTATTTTTCTTGCTTCTCTCTAGATTACCTATAGCATACCATATACACGCTAACCAGTGGGCTAGTAAAGCAAAAGAACACATCAACAGGCAGAGGACAGCCGTGCCATATTCAGAATAATGGTCCAGTTTACGAGCCACGCGCACGAGACGTAGAAGACGGGCGGTTTTCAACAGTCCAATCAGCGTTGTTGTCTAATAAAATGAGAATGAAAAAAAAACCATGACATTTGAATAGGTCTATTCATTGTTCCCCTGCAGTGTTCCTCCCCCCACACCCAGGTATAAATAAATAACGATCAACGTAGGTTGATGGCAATACCTATTTTCAAAGTAGAAAAAAAATAGAAAAAAAATGTGTGAAATAGTGTAGGAGATATGATGGTTGTCAGTAGTTCGGTCATATTCGATTGTATTGACCTGTTAGCTTCGCTGCTATGTCTTCAATCACAAAAAGAATATAATGTATAGAGCGTTTTCACGTGACGTCACAGCGGCCATGTTGGTGTATTAAAACAATACATTTTCTATCCTCCGGGAATTGAACTCTATTTTTATGCAAATACTGTGCAGAAAGCTTCCATTGTTTGGTACACCAATATGGCTGCCTTTTCATGTGAGTGAAAACGCTCTACATGGGACATGCATGATCCCCGTTCTTCGTATTGCCAAATTCTATTTCATCCTACACAGCTTTCCTTTAGGCTGCGTGATTATGTATGGCAG